CTCTCTCTCTCTCTCTCTCTCTCTCTCTCTCTCTCTCTCTCTCTCTCAATAGCATGCGCCACAAGGTAATGCGGCAACAGAAAAATCTGCAAAGACAAAATAAAATTAGGGCACTCTTCAACAACGCAACTTCCCTACACAACCCAAAGCAACGTATCTACTCTCGACAGCGCGCGCATTACACCTGCACCGCACTGAACGAACACATACTATGAACAACTTGGAGATTGAAAAACTAACACGGGTGCGTGCTTACAACCCACGACAGCTTGCCTGCGTCTTGAGGGATCGCGCCACCTCCGGGAAGGCCGGGAGTTGATGTCCTAGGGTCCCCGAGGCTTCGTCGAGCTGCTTAAGGTTCTCCCGAGCAAGCTGGTTCGCCGCATCACCTGGTGGGCATCGCATGTGACGGTAAATTACCACGAAGGAGGGGGTGCACACATGGAATTTTCCGTGGGGAGGGGAGGCGACCCACGAACGATACAGCGGGGGGGGGGATACTACTGTACCAAGTTCTGAAGGTAGTCTCTCGAAGCCATTCGACCTCGTACATGTTGCTAACGACAAAGCCTAGTGCCATCCTTTCCGTCGCCGACCACACCCACTTCATATTGCCTACGCTGTCTGAACCCTAAGGATACTTTCCTATCCTCACAAGGCAGTTACCCAAATCTTGCGTGTGCCGTCTCTACGCAGCTTCACAAATATTCACTTCGCGAAACATCCCCCAAAATTTTGCGTGTGGCATCTTGCACACCGGAATTTGCACTTGTTGACCCCGTAAGGCACTTCCTGATATGTCATATGGATACAGCAATGCCACATACGAATAAGCTGTTTCATTTCTCACCCTCAGGAAGAAGCTCGAGGATGTCGATGTCCTCGTGGGCAGCAATGAAATTGGACGCCAGCTCGAAGACGAATGCAAGCTTCTTGAAGATCCAGCCGCCCACGATCTGTCCGATGATCGGCAGGTGCCTAAACCACAATAATTGAGGGCATTGAGGATGGGGGAGGGGGTGTGTGTGGCTGACCCAAGAGCAAGCGTTGCAAATGATAACACGCACGTTGGACTACCTGTTCCACAAGGAGCCACTGCTTTCCTTCTCCTTCTCCGTGCACTACTACAAGGAGCGTTTTGTTTAGATTTGCTCTACTTGCTGAGAAACCGCTTCGCCTATGTGAGTGTGTGACTTGGTTCGCCTCAGCTTCGTCAACCAAGTAAATATCGGTCTAACCGGCAACGCCATATCAACACCGAATGCGTGCGATGCGCGGGGGGGGGGAGGGGGGCATGCAGCGCATCTATCAATGTGCATACCGAATATGACACAAGATAACACACCCCCTTGACCGATTTTCGAAGCTCGATTTCTCAACTGCAGGAACAGTCACAGCGCCGAAAACAGCGGCGTTGAAACCGTCTCGTCGAGAGCTTTTCGAAAATGTATCATTTCGTTTATGCATCCTCTTCGTCGTGGAGTAATCGAGCTTTGAAAATCGGTCCAGGGGGTGTGTTGTGTCATATACGGTAGATACCACTATGAGAGAGATTGTTCGTGTTTCGCCACAGTAGTTGGATGAGAATATCACGCGTGCCTCGTCTAATTGCACTTGAACATTATCGTGTATGCTTGCACGGAAGAATAAGACAGAAAGGTAACCACATACACAAACGGTTTTCCACCTGAGCGCCGAGGCCATATTGAGCTGGTATTCCGGGATAGTGAAGGACTCCCTTAGCCTCGCCCACTCCTCTAGGGCGGCGTAACTGTCGTCCAGCTGAACGTCGGCATTTCCCTGATGTGTGCATTGCGCGTTGGAACAAAACACATACGGCCAAATTTTCAGAGAAAACACTACTCCCACATACAACCAGAGAGCAACGTCCCTCGAAGCAAGGAGAAAGTATGCACACGCAGCACAAAGCTGTTGAAAGTTGTTACGCCTCTTGCAGTGCCCTTGCTGTGAACGGACGCGAAACACACGCCAACAAATTTCGAGCGCTCCTAATTCTCTGAGCGTGGTTCCCGTCTCCAGCGGCACTCCGGCAGTGCCTCAACGGCAGGGTGTCAATTCGTGTAAATAAACATCGTACAAGCGTTTGTTTACGATAGGGGAGATGTTTTCACGATCATCGCGCGTGTCGTAGTGTTTTGACTACCAAATATCTCGCACATCTACAACTCCCGGAAGGGGCACGCCGGGGCCCCCCCGGGGTCAGCAAGAGCAGAAAATGTATCTTGTTGCTTCTTACCATGAGAACTCGAAGGCCGGAGTCGCTTAGCCACCCCTTGCGGAAGTTGTCCTGGTAGTTCGCCTTGACGGCGCCAACGAAGCGCAGACGGGCCTCGGCGAGCTGCTCCTGCTGCTCCTTAGCCTGGCAGACATTAGCAGCTACTTCCGTCACCATTCCAACACCAACAGCCACAACAACAACGACGACGACGACGACAACAACGACGACGACGACGACAACGACGACGACGACGACGACGACGACGACGACGACAAATGCCCACCAGCACCCGACATCAACCTAACCGCCATCAAGATCGCGAGCAATAATCAGCAGCAACAACATCACCCCCGCTCACCGAGCGACTGAACCTTGACGCGTTGCTCACGCTCGGCCTGAGCCTAGGCCCGAACGGCGGCTGCACCCCAGCCTTGCCGCCCCAATGGCTGACACCGGCGCCAGACACCGCAGAAATGCGCTGCAGTCTTGCCGCCGCCGCAGCCGCGGCCTGGCTCTCATGCCGCAGGTGCTGGCTGACGATCGCCGAGGAGGTCGCCTTAGCTGGGGCAGCTTGCTGCTCGTCGGCAGCTTGCTCGGCTTCCCTGAGGATGTTTTAAAGTTATTGCTGTCTTTTTGTTGTATTCTGTGCATTTGAAACCGTTCGGACCTCTTCCGGTAGTAGCTTTTACAGAAAATGTCAGTAAATGTTGATTTCTTCACATCTGAAACCGTTTCGACCTCGATCCAGTACCTCCCACACGTTGTGCGAAACACTTGCTATCGCGTTCTTCACGTTTCCGACCTCTATTCAGTAATGCGTCCTACAGATACCAACATTGTTGGTGTTTTCTTCACATACTCCCTTCAGAGTCACAGAAAAGAGTAAAAGAGGAAAAGTAGGGAGAGCAACGGCCAAGTCTGAATTGCCATAATAGCTTACGATTACGCCAAGTAGTGGGAGCCAATGGAACCGAAAAAAAGTAAAAGGGCACGTACTTTGTAAATGAAGGGGCGGCAATCGAATCGGAACCAGCACAAAACGACGGCAGTGAGTAATCCACCTACCTGACCGCAGCCTTAAGCTTGGCATCAACTCGCTTGAGCTGCTCCCTCGCCAGGCTGAGGCCGCTCTTCGTAGCCTCGATCTCCTGCATACATCGCCGCCCAAAGAACGTTCCCAGCGTTGTCATGTCCCCCCCGGTGTTTGCCATCGGGGTTGGGTTTTCGTCGCTTGGCA